TAGAAAGGGAAGGTGGTCGATCGCGAGAGGGTGGTGCAGCTAACAGCACCGCCCAGCAGCAGCAGGGAAACTGGCGGGTGCTGGCTGATGTTAAAAGAGCCCCAAGGATTTCGATCTCACAAATCCACGATGGAAACAGTCTAATCATCAAGGGCGAAGTAATCGGAACGCCGTGTAAGCTGACAATAGACACTGCAGCCTCTCGCACGGTTGTCAGTTCCAACTTATAATTCAGTTCCCTGGGGACTCCGCATACAACCGAGAACGCATTAATTTGGTGACAGCCACCGGTCAGCGCATACTCGTCCGTGGAGAGGAGATGAAATTGAAGCTAGGCAACATGATCTACCTGCATAATGTCATCGTGGCTGATATAATGGACGACTACATCCTGGGCCTAGACTTTATGAGAATTGTTGTGAGATCGACGTTAAGCAAGGTGTTTTGAAATGTGGACAAGAGGAAATTGTCGTGGAAGGGGCGTTACCAGGGAATGTGTACAGCCTTTAGAACATTGTTCTGCCGCCAAGATCGGAAACGATTGTGCCGGTTAATCTTCCTCGGAATCCTGGGCAAGCTCATAGTTGTGTGCTCGTGGAAGGGGTAGACAATGACATTCCATGGAAAGTGGCTCGAACCTTGGTCAGAACCACCGACATCTCAGGAGTACGTGTGCTGAACCGTACAGGAACAGATCCGATCAGGAACAGATTATAGAAAAAGCAGAGGAAGTAGATTGGTTGCTTCGGTTCCAATATCTATCGACTGGGACCCCCAGCAAGGATGCAAAAACGAGAGTGACCACACTTTTAGAAGACTGTCGCAGCGTTATCTCCCCGAATGAAATGGTCAAGGCGAAGAAGTTGTTACTCAAATACGCCAATGTTGTCTCGTCAAACGAAGCTGACATAGGAAAGACTGGCTTAGTTCAACACAAAATAAACACAGGACAAGAATTGCCTATTCGTCAGCGGCCAAGAAGATTGCCTGTAGCACGTGAAAAGGAAACCATGATTGAGGGAATGGTGAAGGATGGTGTTATTGAACCTTCATCTAGTCCATGGTGTTCACCTGTGGTGCTGGTAAAGAAGAAGGACGGCAGCATGCGGTTTTGTGTTGACTACCGCCGTCTGAACGACGTTACGAAGAAGGACAGCTATCCCTTGCCAAGAATTGATGACACCCTGGACATGCTTACAGGCATAAAGTGGTTTAGTACGCTGGACCTGAAAGGCTGGCAGGTTGAAATTGACCCTAAGGACAAGGAGAAAACTGCATTCTCCACAGGAAAGGGTCTGTGGCAATTTAAAGTCATGCCGTTTGGATTGTGCAATGCTCCAGCAATGTTTGAAAGGTTGATGGAGCTTGTACTTACCGGGCTAATTGGAGATGCCTGTCTGGTCTACTTGGACGACATCATCATTGTAGGCCGTACGTTTGAGAAACACCTTCAAAACCTGGAACGCGTGCTCACAAAGATCCAGAGTGCCAACCTCAAGTTGAGTCCGAAGAAGTGCTCACTATTCAAACGGCAAGTTAGCTTTTTGGGGTATGTAGTGTCGGAAGAAGGTATCCGCACGGATCCAGAGAAAATTGCCGCTGTCAAGGATTGGCCGGTTCCAAAAGACAAGACGCAGGTTAGAGCATTTTTGGGTTTGTGCTCTTATTATCGGCGATTTGTGAAGAACTTTGCAGATATAGCCAAACCTCTGCACAGGCTAACCGAGGAGAAGCGACATTTCTGCTGGGATGAAAGTTGCGATATTGCATTCCAGGAGCTCAAGAACCGTCTGTGCAAAACACCTATCTTGGGGTAGCCTGATGCAAGCAAGGAATTTATAGTTGACACAGACGCAAGTGATATAGGACTTGGCGGTGTGTTGTCTCAACGGAATGGTGATCAAGAGATTGTGATAGCGTACTTCAGCAAGTCGTCAAAGCCGGAAAGGAACTATTGTGTCACAAAACGGGAATTGCTTGCTGTGGTAAAGTCCTTGCAGCATTTTAGCAAATATCTTCTGGGGCGGAAATTCCACTTACGAACTGACCATGCTGCACTGAAATGGCTATTGCAGTCCAAAAATCCGGAAGAACAAGTTGCAAGATGGATTGAACTACTGCAGGAATACGACTTTGTGATCGAACATCGCAGCGGGAAATCTCATGGCAATGCAGATGCATTGTCAAGATGAACTTGTCTACTAGGCAAGTGTACTAGGCAAAAGGGTAAGGAAGTGGTATCTGTGAGGATACTCAGGACAAACCAGGTCAGCAATGAGGGGAAGGACAGCCTACAACATGCACAGCACGAAGATTCGGACATAAAGCCGATTCTGGAATGGATGAAGGCCAGTGCTCCTAAGCCCCTAGTGGAGCGACGTCTCAGCAATGAGTTCGACCACGAAAAGCTATTGGGCCCAATGGGACAGCTTGCTGATTCAGGATGGAGTCCTGTGCCGTAAATGGGAAAATGGTCGGGGAGACAGATGTAATTTGCAAATGATTAAATTAACAACTATTTCATGGTTGTAATGGATTACTTCACTAAGTGGCCAGAAGTCTCCGCCATTCCAAATCAAGAAGCTTCAACAGTTGCAGATAAACTAGTTGATGAAGTCTTCTGTCGTTTTAGAGTACCCTTAGAGATTCACAGCGATCAAGGAAGGAATTTTGAGTCTCAATTATTCCAGGAAACTTGCTGAATTATGGGTACTCATAAAACACGAACAACTTCTTACCACCCACAATCTGATGGAAGGGTAGAACGATTTAATCAGACATTGGAGAGGTACCTAGCAAAAGTTGTGGAAAAACGGCAACGAGACTGGGACAGGCACATACAACCTTTTTTGTTGTCAAATCAAAACGCTGTTCACGAAAGTACATCAGTGACACCAGCTTTCGCAAACTTTGGAAGAGAATTACGGCTGCCTGCAGAACTGATCATCGGAATACCACCTGATGCCCCACGCAGTATAACTGATTATGCAAATGACTTGCGGAACAAAATGAATGACGTTTATGAACACGTCAGACAGTCGGGCCAGCAAATGTCTAAGAAGATGAAAACACGGTATGACCGCAAAATGAACAACAAAGGGTTTGACGAAGGTTCACTAGTGAGGTTACACAATTCAGTTCGCAGCAAAGTGAAATCTCCTAAGCTTCCAGCTAAATGGGATGGATCCTACCGGATTGTGACAAGGATCAATGACGTAACCTACCGGATACAGTAAGGTGCCAGAGGTACTCCTAAGATCGTCCATGTGGATCGACTGGCGCGTTATTATGGGGCCAATAATGCTCGGGACGAGCATGTCTTAGGGGGCAGTGTTGCGTGCCACTATTAATGTCTTGTATATGGCAACACTGGTTCCCACTAGCGCCCTCTAGTATTGAGTAGCAGAACTAGGAGAGTCAAGATCCATCTAGAAATTTCGGGACCGATATGTACTCGAACACTCTAGATGTCGCTACAGTAGAAGGTTCTGGAAACTATCTGAGGCCCTATATAAGGCCGGTATAGACCACGACCGAGGCAGTATTGAATTGGCGATATAAGCGAATACTTCGAATCGAAACAACTGCGAACTTAAGTGATCAGTAGTATAATTGTGTTTTATTATTAGTGTGGGTTTAGATTGTAATTAGTGTTCTATAATTAAAGTGTTAATTTTGATAATTCAATCGGCAGTTTTTAATTGTCTCGAACCTAAAGCTCGTATCAATAATATTTACTTGTTTGGTCAATTGTGCCAATGCTATAGACTCGTTGTCCCTACCATGTTTAATGGAAGAGAGTGATCTAAATTATACTATATAAAATAGTTTTAAACCGATCGATCAAAAACTGCGGTCGTAGTTGAGGATGCTCTAGCACGCAGGCAATCGACGCACACTATGATATCAATAGCACACTACGGTAGTATAGAAACGACGCAGCGCGCGAAATCAACTGACGCAGGTCTAACCTCGACAAGCGCTCGCGCGATAGTGATCGCAGATAGTCGGCGCAGTGAAATATATAGTACTTTTATTTAATTAATTAAAATATAATAGTAACGATTTAAAAAGTAAAAATAATAGTATAGTTTAAGCAAATGTTGATGATCATTTTGGTATAAATTTTACGTCTAAATGATGTAGAATTTAGGAAATATAGAGGCTTGTATCGAAGCTTTATCGGTCGTTTATTGAATTATGTCGATTTTTTTTTCCTAGTGTGAAAGGCATATAACGAAAATGTATTCTATAATTATTAAAGTGTAGGATATTTGGAAAATAAGAATATTTTTTTTTGATGGTCGATATTCAATAGAATCTACAAATTAGAGCTCCCAAATCATGTCTTCGAGAATTTTTGCCTAAACATGCATCAAGAGAATGATTATTACTGAATAAATAAATAAGTTATCTATAATTCGCTTTAAGCTTATTTGAGAAGAGAAAGCGAACTATTTTTGCCAAGTAATTGTTATTTCAAGCAACGAACGATAACCATACAATTTCAACGAGGAAACCTTGTAATTTCGTGTTTTTTTTTTTGTAATACGTCTCTTAACAGGTAGTGGTTATATTAACAATCTTCAAAAAAACCGCACAAAGAGAGATAATAAGAAACATTGCATATGATTTTTATATGTTCGTCTCTTTTCAGTGTCGCTTTTTCGTTTCATCGAGTTTCAAATCACAAAGATTTTAAAGAAGTTTTCACTTCCAAAAACCTGCGTTTGCGAACCCGCCTGAAAAGCGTGACGACAATAGTTATAGGAACAATATATGTGGAGCCCTGTTAACAGCGGTGGACTTTTGATAGACTCGTAACGGAGTACAGGGAATAAATAAAAGTCTGAATTCATAAAGCTTTTGGGTTTATTAGTTAAACAAATATCACTTTTATTTACAACCAAAGCAATCACAAATGTATAAACTAATCGTAATCACCTAGAACTACTTAACAGATTGAAATATTTACAATAGAGTTAACAAGGGGCGTGCGGTCACGCGGAGCCCAGCGGCTGCGTCACCACGGGCGAGCGCCTCCGCGGCGACGCCTCCTCGCACTCGCCCGCGCCCGCCGCCGCCCCCGCCGCCCCCGCCGCCCCCGCCGCCGCCACAGTCCCCGCCGGCTCGGTCAGCCGCAGCGCCACCTCCAGGTCGCGGAGGACCTGTAAAGAGCACGATAAAAATAAATTATCACATTTTTTTTTCTTGTTAAAGGACTCGTACCGTTGTACTTTTGCCAGTATCAAGTAATAAGAAATTATCATTTATAATGATTTGTTTGGGAGATTTTAACTTGAGGTTCACAACACTATCATTTCCATAAATATTTAACAGTAGTAGTGCGGTGGAGGGGAGGTGGAGATGCGTCGAGCAGTGCGAAGCGACGATCGTGCGCGGTGAGGTGTGCGAAATTGAGGTGCGGTGAGGTGTTTGTGTGTGTAGTGCCCTGTAGACACCCCTTTACCTCCGACAATATACATTTATGATATTAGTATTAAGTATAGAATAGCGACAGTATAATTAACGTTCTTGTACAAGCAACACGTCTCCTTCATTCAGCACCTTCAGAGTTCCGGCATTACATGGCGACCCTGCCAGGCGGTGCGCTGCTACAATGCAAGCGCACCGCCGCGGCCTACAAAATAATTAAAATTACAATATAATTAAATTATTCTAATTTACACAAATTGACACAATTATATACCCGGACTACACGGAATATATACCCGGATGTGACGAAAAAATAACTTAATATGAATACAAGAAGAGGCCTTAACAATAATTTTACAGAAGGTGACAGAAAAATTAAAAAGTGATTTGTTACTCGTATATAATGAGCAAAATTATTAATTATAAAAGGAAAGAAACAGTTGTACTTTTGCAGGCTTCGTCCAGAAGAATATGAAAATTGAATTAAAAAGAACAAAGAAGAAATATTTAAGAGGTAACTTCGCACCTGTGTGATTTTAATTCCATTTAAAACTTTATTTATCAATTTGATATTGTTTTTATTTTTTTTTTTGCTATCATAATTTTTTTTTTAAATTATGTATTAAATATTCTTTTTTAATAATCTGTATTTAATATGTTACCTATGTTTAAATTGAAAGTAATTATCAGATAGTGTACGATTCAATTGATTTTTTAATATTTTCATTACTGTATCTTAAAAAATAATCAAAACGAAATAATTATAAATTAAGTTACGTATGCACTTCTGTGCCATATTTTTATTAAGGTACAAAACGATTTTATATTCACTTTTATTCAGTTATGGTTTTTATATTATTTTTTATTACTGTGTCGTGCAAAAATTAATGAAGTAATGTGATAGATTACATTTTCACGTCCTTAAATTTACCATAGTTCATCATAAATTAAATTTTTCATCTTTTATAGTTAAAATAACACTTTTTCTTTTAACGACCAAAGTTAAATTCAATTTCAATTCAAAATTCAAATGTAACAATTTAAAAAATAATTAAAGTAGTAGTAAAGTAAGTAAAGTAGTAAATAAAATTATATTTTATATATATTTATATTTTTGTATATTTTTTAGCAGACCTATTATGGTCTGCTAAACTTTTCTTATGAATGATATATCTATAAATATGACATGTAATGTTATGCAATGAGCTTATCTTAAAACAATAGAGAGCAACATGCGATTATTAACAGTGGTAGAGCCACGCGGCAGCTTTTGCTGTCGCACGGATGGGCCGGCTCGAACCAGGGTGGTACCACGACCTCACAGAAAACCAGCGTGAAGTAGAGGTTTACCTCTGCGTTTCGCTTGGTGAGTGCAGGTGGCCGGAGGCCCTTTTTACTGGAAATGAGGCATTCCATCTTAGTCCTCACGGGTGACAACGCATCTACATTTTGATTTGTAATAGAGGATAGATGTAGATGTCTATGGGCCGCAGCAACCACTTACCATCAGGTGGACTGTGTGCTCGTTTGTCACCCTAATCGTATAAAAAAAAAAAGGTACATAAAAATAAATGTTAAACAAAAATGTTATCCCACTTGTACAAAAATTAAAATGTATGTAATTAAAAGATATGAGGAATGGAAGAAAAGAATGTTCGAAAGTGTGAATTCATACGAATGATTGAGTTGCTAAGTTTCCTCAATATTGGACTGATCACCCAAATATTGATGAATGCTTAAACTCCTGGTATGAAATTCATTATGAGCGAGAATAATGCAAGTTAGTATATGGAAGTGGAGCATGCAAGTGAATAAAATAACCGATACACTCAAATAGATATCAAGATGTTAAAAAAAACACGGTAATCTATACAAATAAATAAAATTGAAGTGTCTGTTTGTAATGTCAAAATTACAGTTTTTTACTAAATGCATATGAAAGTAAATACGATACCTATAACTAAAATACAATTTTTAAAATTTTTGTCTGTTTGTCTGTTTGTTCGAACGTTGAAACGGCTGGACCGATTTTGACGGGACTTTCACTGGCAGATAGCTGATTTCATAAGGAGTAACTTAGGCTACTTTTATTTTAGAAAAAGTATCAGGGTTCTGCGCAGAAACATAAAAACCCTAACACGCGAACGAAGTCGCGGGGAACAGCTAGTGTATAAATAAAGAAGAAAATAAGATTTATTAAGAGAATAGAAATAAAAGATATGTTGACCTTGATAAACAAGTAATGGAGAAATACGGGAACGTCCATCACTGGTAAAGCATATAGTCCTCGAGCAGGGTATGTTTCCATGATTGGATGATAAAATCGGGAGTAACGGGTACTAGGGAACAATACCTTCAGTACAAGTGAGATGTGAATGAGTTTACTCATATTAGTACTGTTGGCGACCAGAGAAGTCTTAAATTTGTTACCCTTAATAATGGTACATAGAGGTCACATCCTTCATTAGATCATAGTGTGAACTTAGTTTTCCTCCGTGACAATTGTTGGAGTCCTTTTAAAATGACTTAAAAGTTGACCTCAAGGTTGTGCGCACAACCCAAGGTACAGTTCTACCTTGAGATAGTATGATAAAAAAAAAGTTAATGTACCAATAAAATGAAATGAATGTTATGAAAATGTAATATAATACCCAAGTAAATGGGGGGCCCATATTTATAAAGTACCCGCGTGATAAATATCACGAAATAAAATATAAATGAAGTGAATTAATACTCCGATTCCCGATATCTAATAAATAAATAAATAAATAAGTGAATAGAATTACGAAAACAAATTAAGCTAGCTAAAAGATCAAAAAGAATAAATTATTATGAAAGGAAAGAAAGTATGTACATACAAGAATTATAAAAGAAAATATAAATACATATATGTATAACCTAAGGCCTAATAATTTAAACAAAGTAAATAGGAGTAGTGGTACTGGTATGAAAATAAGTACAATGAAATGAGAAAAATTCAAATCATAAAAGGACATGAGAAAAAATAAAATGAGTTACATACAAGGTATTAAGGGGATCCCCGACCAAATCTATAAAGTGAGATAGGTAGTTATTTGCATTTCTTTACTAGGATGCTACCCAAAATGCTACCTACTAGTTGCACATGTAGTACCTATAGGATCAAAAAGCTTTTAATACTATAATTTTCAGATACATTTTATGTGTATTCATAATAAAACATTTTAAAAGTTATGGTAAAATTATGTAATAAAGAATATCTAATAAAGAAGTAAAATAAATATCTAATAGTTAACCAAATGTAAAAATAAAAAATAAATCAAGCTAAACTATTAAACTGAGTGAGCAAAACGTGTCCTCATTGACACATTTCCTTATATCTCTATATTACATGTATTTTTTTTTTCTATAGTAAATTTCATTTAAATGTAAGATTCCATTTGAAAAGGGTTAAAACAATTCGGTATTATTAATAAATGTTAGCTTTTCCTTTCTTTTATAAAAGCAGTGACCTTAAAGTTATGTAATAACCTACTTAAAAACTAAAAGTGTTCTTTTGAATGTTTAAATTTTTAATGTTTTGTTGTGTAAAGTTGATATGTGTTACAGTGATTATTCAATTATTTTCTGTAATCGATATAGTAAATATCATACTTCTAGAAATTGTAATAAAAAAACAACTAACGCATTTTTTGATGGATGTAAAATTAATGTAACTATCTAAAGTTCTGTATAAATAAGAAATTTAAAACTATCATTTTACATGTATCCATATATGTATGTAATAATAACATTGTACAACTTATGTTAAAATAGCGTGATCATAATACGATGTAATTGTAAACGTTTCCATATACGTACTTTGATAATTAAAACAAAGGTGTCTCAAATCGCTTACGCGGCTGGGAATGCAATTTGTATTTTGATCTGCCTTTTGTTATGTGATTATGTTATTGTTATTGAAAATGATTACGTTGCTTAACATTGACTTCTTTGTTCTGTTCATCTTAATATGAAATGAGATAATTAAATTTTTGGTAAAATTGAATGACCTCAGCAAATTATAAGATTTATAATATTTTGAAATTATTCTTTTAGAAAAGTATTTAAAGGATTTAAATAGTTTATTTGTGATATATGATTAAATTGTGAGCCTCGATTCTTAAAAATATGTATATGTAAAGAATATAATTCTTGTTGCAAAAACATGTATAATTTTTATGACTAAGTTACTCGTACGTAACTATTTTTATTCAGTGAAATGAGAATCAGGGAAAGGACTATATACATTGGCCATTTTCGTAATTATGTATACGCGAGCTGTGTACGTGAAAGAAAAGACTGAATATTATTATTATTAATGATATTTAATGTACTTACTTACTTACTTATCTTCACGCACAATCCCTGACGGGGTAGCCAGAGAGAACAGATCGCCAAGTGTCACGATCCTTACAAACCTCTTTCGCTTCTTTCAGATTCATTATCTTCTTCATGCATGCACGTCTAGGTATCCGAGTACTTTTGACCCTACCCTCTTCGAGCAATTTGCTCACATGGTCTTCGAAAGTTAGTCTCGGTCTACCTCGACACCTTTTAATATTAACTTTCGCGCTATATATTTTCTTCACCATTCGGTCTTCACTCATTCGCTCAACGTGCCCAAACCACCGAAGCACGCCCTTATCAATTTTTGTGATAAGGTCATCTTTCAAACCTGCCATATTGCGAATCTCTTCGTTTCGCTTTCGGTCGGCCATGGTAACGCCGCACATTTTACGAAGAGATCGCATCTCCACTGCATTCAACTTACTTTTATGCTTCTTCTGGCATACCCAGGTTTCGCTGCCATATAACAAAGTCGGTACCAACACTGCGTTATGTATTGCAAGGCGTGCACTCTTCGCTACGCCTTGCCTTTTGACTAACGCAGTCAGGGCACCATTGACTTTGTTCCCGGCAGCGACACGCCTGTCCACATCTAAATCACATCTTCCATCCCGGCTAAAAGCACTCCCCAAGTATACAATTTCATTTACCTGTTCTAGACATTCCTGATTTACCCATATTTCACACTTCGTTCTCTCTTCGTCCCTTTCAAATACCAGAACCTTAGTTTTATTAGCATTCAAACGGAGACCATACGGCCATACATACCCCTATATTTAATGTCATGCAGTAAAATGAAAAATAAATAATAGTTACCGGAGAATAAAGTAAATATATAAAGTTAATACAAAAAAAAAGTGAATTAAATAAAAGAAACTTGAAATGTAAGACAAAGTACAAAAAATATTTTTAAAGTTTATAAAAAAAAATGTAATCATTCCTTTTTTATTTTTTTGTTGGTGGGAGGTGTAGTGCCCTGTAGACACCCCTTTACCTCCGACAATATACATTTATGATATTAGTATTAAGTATAGAATAGGGACAGTATAATTAAAGTTCTTGTACAAGCAACACGTCTCCTTTAGTCAGCACCTTACGAGTTCCGACATTACATGTGTGTGTTTGTGCGTGTGTGCGCGTGTGTGCGTGTGTTTGTGCGTGTGTTTGTGAGTGTGTGCGTGTGTTTGTGCGTGTGTGCGTGTGTGTGCGTGTGTGCGTGTGTTTGTGCGTGTGTTTGTTAGTGTGTGCGTGTGTTTGTTAGTGTGTGCGTGTGTTTGTGCGTGTGTGCGTGTGTTTGTGCGTGTGTGCGTGTGTGTGCGTGTGTGCGTGTGTTTGTGCGTGTGTTTGTTAGTGTGCGTGTGTTTGTGCGTGTGTGCGTGTGTTTGTACGTGTGTGCGTGTGTTTGTGCGTGTGTGTGTTTGTGTTTGTGCGCGTGTTTGTGCGTGCGTTTGTGCGTGTGTGCGTGTGTTTGTGCGCGTGTGCGTGTGTTTGTGCGTGTTTGTGTGTGTGTGTGTGTGTGTGTGTGTGTGTGTGTTTGTGCGTGTGTTTGTGCGTGTGTGTGTTTGTGCGTTTGTGCGTGTGTGCGTGTGTTTGTGCGCGTGCGCGCTTGCGAGCGCGTGCGTGCGTGTGCGCGTGCGTGTGTGAGCGTGCGCGTGTGCGTGTGGTGTGTGTGCGCGCGCGCATGTGTATATGTGTGTGCGTGTGTGTGTGCATGTGCTTGTGTGCGTGCGTTACCTCGGTCTCCTTGTGGTCGAGCAGCGCGAAGCGGCGGTCGAGCGCGGTGAGGTGCGCGAAGGTGAGGTGCAGGTGCGCGTGCAGGCGCAGCAGCGCCAGCTCGCGGAAGTGCGCCGCGTACAGGTGCGCCACCACGTGGAACAGCAGCCGCACCACGCGCCGCACCACCACCGAGAACTGCGCGGGAAACTCGTTCGCTGCCACAACCATACCACGTACCGTTCACATACCGTAATACCGTTACAGCCTATTAAACTTCACTGCTGATCCCAACTCCTGATTTGTTTTCCTCTGTCGTCTCAAATGAGGAAAGTAAGCTAATATCCGCGATGAAATCTATAAAAACTAGTTTCATCTAAACATACCATTCACGTTCACTGCCTCTTTGGTCTAGTGGTCCTAAACGCGAGTGACAATCTTAAGGTCCCGAGTTACAATTCCGTCACGGTTGAATTAAAAATCAGTTATTGGATCTTTCTGACAACAAATTCTCAATAGCAAACCGAACAAGGAAGCTGGCGGTGTTTCAACCCCGTTCCTCGGAAAGCACGTAAAGCTGACCTTGCGATCTCTCTCCGGTCATGTCGGTTTGCCGTCTCAACAGACTATGAGGGTGAAGGAATAGAATGCACCTGTGCTTGCGCGCATACATTATAATCCTGTCCTGCTCAAATTACTAATCTCCGAAAACCGAACCGAAACTCGGTCTGAAGGACATTAACATTCACTTATTTTGCATACGTGATAGTGATAGCGCCACGCTACAGCTATATTATGACTGTAGGAAGAATACGTCAACTCGATCGAGAAGGGACCACGCTCTCGCAGAATACCAACGTAAAATAGCTGCTTAATACTGCCGTGTTTCGTATAATAAGCGTAGAGAACCGGAGACCCTTATTACTGTAACTGAGGCAAACCATCTTAACCCATATGGTGCACAACACATTTGCATTTTGATTTTTAATTGAAGATATGTGTAGGTGTTTATGAGCCACAGCATTTACTTACCACCAGGTACACTGTGCTCGCATGTCACTCTTATCGTATGAAAAAAAAATACATTAATATTGCTATTATTTATCAACCGGTACAAATCCACGGCTGCACATGAGTTGTTTCGTTGTAAGAAGAATTTGCCTTAATCGTCGCGCTTGGCAGACTTTTTTTCATCAATGCCAGTTGTTCGTGAGTCGATTAAGGTCCCGACTGATATCCAGTGCTGTGGTATCCACCCTGCAAATTATCACTGAGACGAGATCCTTTTTGACATCACACAACTGCTTAGTTACTAATTTGTAATTTGTACGAATGTCTATGTTTCTCAATTACATGTGTTGGACAAGTAAATGTTTCTTTCTATCTTTCAGGCGAATTGACGATTCCTTTATTAGTATTTGTCCCACTTTTTTGTACGCGTAGATAACACTGGATGTATTAAATCAAACCTAGGAAGCCGTGCTATTAGTCTACGCTACACATTCTGTTATTCTGTTCTATTCTGTTGCTAATTAGTTTGACGGCTCCATAGCACAGTGACTTAACAATGAGTTTCAGCGCTGGGAACCGAGGGTTCGAATTCGTCACGGAACAAGTATTTGTGTGGCCTACAAATAATTGTTCCGATTGTGGATGTTTGTCTCTATGCAATTTATGTTTGTAAACCGCTTCTACGGCACAAGAGAATATTCTAGTGAAGGGGTTAACGTTTAAAAAAAATAGTTGAAACATAAAAGTCGGGAGCACGATGATGAGAGTACAAGAAAATCTCGAAATAGTCTCGATCCAAAAGCTAGCTGCCAATATTTTATACGCCTTATGTAAACAAGTAAATGAATTATAAAAGTAACGACTGCATATTTTAGGCATCGTTGCAAATACTTTCGCCAAGTGTGTGTTCGTATCAGTAAAGTAGAATTAAAGAAAGTTGCTATTTAATAAGATTTTTAACCATCACTGCTTAAAATTGTCTACTGCTGAACATAGACCTCCCCCTCCCACATGAACTGCTTCATAAGGGGGATTTACCGAAACCGCGGTTGCCTACCTGCCCGCCAGGCGCGGCAACTATGACAAATATTGTGGGAGGCCTGTGTTCAGCAGTAGACTTTTAATCGGCTGAAACGGTAACGGTAAGTCATACACAAATCCAACCGTGTCACGGACAATAGTTCGCAAGCGGAACAGGAAAGTCGTTGCGTTTACAATCACAAGCGTAACCCGTGAAGGAATGGATGGCTTCATTATGACAACAGTCAGAGCGGAACGTCTTCAACGGTCAATATTCTTTAATATATTGCTGTCTCAGTCTCTCATTGCAACTTTTACAGATGGAACGCCGTCACTACCACGATGTGGCAACATCGCTACTCCTCTCTCGCGATGTCGCTTTATGAAGTTAAAACATATTATGACAGAAGGAAAAACAAAAAAAACTTGTGTGCAAATTCAAATTCATTTATTTATTTGTGAATACAGTAAATGCAATTCACACGCTTAGAAGTAAAACCTTCAGAAAAGGAGACTGTGTTCTATCTCATTCTGTCGCAGGCTAAATCCTATATATGTATATGTTTGTCCCTTTTAGGGTCGCTTTTCCGTTTCATCGAGTTTCAAATGACAACAATTCTAAATAAGTTTTCACTTCAAAAATCTCACGAAACGAATCTTATTTGTGAGTGTTTCTTACTACAAGCATTAAGAACATCGTGTTTAAAATACAATATAAAGGAAACATAGGAATGGAGCAGTGGCGATAGGATTCAGTGTGACTGCGATCCTATGTAAGGCCAAAGGTTACTTGACTGCGTGATCTCGTTGCGCTCGTTCCGTTAGCCGAGTCGGAGCGGTTCACGCGTTTTAGATTCGCGTTAGTGGCGGTTCAACAAACATCTTCCACTCAGATATTACAACTTTTAAAAACATTGTTCAATGTAATATTTGAAATACAAAAAATCATTACGTTACTACACCTACGTACGTTGTAAGACCTATAAGCAGGACTATTTGTTTTTTTCTTCTTAAAAAACGTTAGCTCTACCCTAGAATTTTCTTCTGTATAGTGTGGGCAGTTTACATACATACATTTCACAAGGATAAACATTCAGAGCCGGAACAATTATTTGTAGGCCATACGATAACACTTGTTCCGTGCTCATTGCTAAGCCGCTGCGCCATGAAGCCGTCCAGTTCATTTCTACCGGTTTAGCGGACATACGGAAACCACAGCACCGCAACTCCTCGCACTTTAGGTGCTGTTCCCGTCGCCGGCCTGCTTATTACACATCTGATATAATTTCGAGATGGGCATACTGTTTATCAACCAGAGACCACCGCGTGAGAGTGTAATGAAAGAAAGAAGGAACTACTTCTTTGATACACACATTTTAATATTAAATGAATTCTCTCATACGATAGTATATAAGAAGAAAGTAATTCAATTTTAAACAACCTACTAAATCTGGGGAGGTACCACTGTATAGCTCTACTGTGCCCGGGTTTGCAGAGTATTGAATGCTAGTATAAATTTACAAGCTGTGAGAAATTTACATGTTTATTTAATACGTGGTAGAGCTACGCTGTAGCTATGTTACGATTATAAAACAAACGGCTCGGCTCAACCGGGGAATCACGACGTTTTTACAGAACAGCAGATCAATGCTGATGTGTTTCGTATAGTGAGTTTTGAGAACCGGAGAAACTTATTACTGGAAATAAGGCATTTCATCTTAGTCCTGAAGGGTTACAACGCATCTGTATTTTTTAATTGAAGATAGATGTGACTATGTGCTACAGTATCCAGCTACCATCAATCAGGTGGACTGTGTGACAAACGATGTCACAGTTTATACTTTATAAAAAAAAGAGTGAATAACGCACCAGTAGTGTTCAGTGTTAAGTTGTTATATCCTATACACATGTATATGTGTACATAGATCCTCACCATATTTAGTAGGGAAGATGGTCTCGTCGTTGACCGTCTTCTGCGTGTATGTCATGACGTAGTCCACGTACTGCGGCGCCGCGACGCGCGTCTTCTTGCCGCGCTCGTCGTACCAGGCGTACACGCGGCCGCCGGGGCCCGTCATCTCGGGACACGACGCCGCTGTGCAGAACTCCGACACCGTGCCATACACCAGGTTCACGTGGTCGAACAGCGCCAGCGCTGCAACCACAACCACACGTCATCATTACTTCACTTACATAGTTGCAAACTATTTTCGCACAATTTGCACAAAAGGGCTATAAAAGCTCTTTTCTGCCGACTTCAAAAAGGAAACGGTACTCAATTCGACTGTATGTTTTTTTTTGTGTGTTACCTCATAAATTTTTACTGGGTGAACCCATTTCGATGATTCTTTTTTTATTTGAAAGCTGGTGCTTCACATGTGGTCCCTCATATATTTGATCAAGGTCTGACCAATAGTTTTTGAGTTATTCCTAATAATTTATATTGAAGTCGGCTGTACAAACATTTTAATTTTAAATTATTGAAGTGAAAACTTCTTTAAAATTGTTGCGATTTGAAAGTTGATAAAGCTAGCCCAAAAAGAAACAAGCGAGAGAATGAGGTAAAATACAGCATACAGTACATGTCCTATAATCTAGGTCTCCTTGTGTGAAGGTTTCACTTCCAACTGTTGTGAACTACACACACAAGTTTTTTTTTAACCTATTATATGTCACAGTGCTTGACCACAATCCTAGCTGGTGGTTAGTGGTAATGAAGGTAAATAGGTAGATGGTAAATCGTACCGTCGGTATCAAAAGCATATTCACTCTTGCCTTGAAGACGCCCAATTGTATTCGAACGGAAGGACAGACGCCGGCAAAATGTTACAAGACTTTGCTGTACGCATTATGAAGGACGAAGCATTTCGCTATTGCAGTGCGCGCAAGATCGACAGCAAAGGGGTGAAGAGTAGTCGATCACCTGATAGACTGATAATGGAAAGAAGAGGGAGGAACACTAGTTCCTCCCTACTATTTAACACACTACTACTACTATTGAACACTAGCTATTTACAACCTAAAATCGGACAGTCTCTCAGAGAGAAATTAAAACAAATACATTTATTACTCGTAAATTTGGCCTGTCATTATATATTTACGACAATTTATAATGTATGTTAACAAAAACAAGTGTAAGTAATTTTAGTGAAAAAAAAGTGATGTACACTCTGCTAACACCAGGAACAAACACAAGCTAGTGATAATAGATACCCAACTCCACAGATAAGTAATTCATTCAAGGGACAAGGTCTCTATTACCAAGTTTAAATATTTTATTAAACAAAAAGCGTGTAAAAAGAGTGATTATAATATAAATGAATATGTCTGCACTGCAAACAATTAATATAAATTATATTAATATATATATATATCGCAATAGGATAGTTAAAACCGTGATATAGTTATATGCCTAGGAATACACATTATCTGTGCAATAAATAATATAACCACGACACGACGGCTTCGTGGCGTAGTGGCTTAGCAATGTGTTGCAGCGCTAAGAGCCGTGGGTACGAGTTCGGGAACAAATATTTGTAAAAACCTAGTGTGGCGGCAACTATTTATAAAAGAAAAGACAGACAAAAAAAGGACTTTTCTCTCAACAGTTGCTATTTAAAAAAAAATTTGCTCATATGTCCAAGCGTTGTTATCATTTAAATAATAATCTATATAATTTAGATAACCTTCTTTCGTTAGAATGCTTGTTACATTAGCCTTGAATTTATGCAAAGCAACTCGCTAATACAAGAGGGAATCGCTTACAAATGCGAGTAGTTATAGCTACGTCTTCTAGTCAAAACTGTGCCGCTAGTATTATGAAGCCAGCACTTCGGAGCAGCAGGTTTAGATTTATTACGCGTTACGCGTGTTCAAGTAATGGACATCGCCCATTTTATCAACGGTATTAAGTAGGTAATAAATACAATGAACGAAGCAACAGTTGAGACATAATTCGTTAAAAAGTTCTACGTGATATAAAGGTACACGTGATCTGATATTGTAAGCACGAATGGTTAATAGTATAAATATATTTTTTGCATCAGCTGCCGATTCCCACAACAGTAACCCATAGCACATCGCACTGTGAAAACAACAAGTAGGTATAAACCTCGTCTTATCTTTCTCTCTGTCTTCAATCTTGCTTTATCTATATCAGTGAACAGTCTATTTTTTTTCATTCTATCTTTATAACTAAACTTTTTACGCAGTCGGGTTTTTTTAATTAACTACACACAGAACGGAACTGAGACTAATTGACAAGGCTTCAACATGGGGTACCTATACATTGTAAGCGAAGAGTCTCGTAATACCAAGGAAAACTATAGAATCTTATTATAACTTATTCAAGTAGGTATTTTGTTGTTCATCTTTATCAGTATACGAGGGCTGCACTAAAAGTATCGGGAATGGAATATTTCCACTGCTCCTGTCATATTAAATTTTTTTTAATTGAAAAGTCCTTGGTTTTAAAATTCGAATTTAAAAAAAGACTCTCGGTCTTGTCACAAGGTTTTTTCAAACTTGTTTAGTCGTTGAGAAAATGGAATTGACTCGAGAAAATTCAAGAGAGATGATTTATTATGACTTTCGAAGTGGTTTAACACAAAAACAGTGTGTTGACCGGATGATTTCTGCATTTGGTGATGAAGCCCCATCCAAAACCACAATTTATCGCTGGTTTGCTGAACTTCAACGTGGACGTGTCAAGCTCAGTGATGATCCCCGTCAAGGTCGTCCAAAAACTGCAGTCACCCAAGAAAACGTTGATGCTGTGCGTAAGCTGATTGAGGAAGATCGACAAGTGACATACCGCGAAATTCAGGCAACTTTAGACATTGGCATGAGTCAAATACAAATAATCTTGTATGAACAATTAGGTGTAAAAAAGTTGTTTTCCCGATGGATACCGCATTCGCTCTGTGAAGAGCAAAAAGCGGCTCGCGTTACTTGGTGCGTCAGAACTCTTGAAAAATTCCACGCAGGATCTTCAAATGCTGTATACAACATCGTATCAGGTGACGAATCCTGGATATACGCGTACGAACCCGAAACAAAAAACCAGTCACGAGTTTGGGTGTTCGAAAATGAGTTAAAGCCAACAAAAATGGTTCGTTCACGGAGTGTTGTAAAAAAAATGGTGGCCACGTTTGTCTCCAAAACCGGCCATGTTACGACTATTCCTCTTGAGGGACAAAGAACGGTTAATGCAGAATGGTATGCTAGCATTTGTTTGCCACAGGTCGTTTCTGAACTCCGTAAAGAGAACTGCAACCGCCGCATCATCCTCAATCACGACAATGCGAGTTCTCACACCGCACACAGGACAAAAGAGTTTTTAGAGCAAGAAAACATAGAATTATTAGACCATCCGCCGTACAGCCCCGACCTAAGCCCTAATGATTTCTATACTTTCCCTAAAATAAAGAATAAATTCCGTGGACAGAGATTTTCATCACCTGAAGAAGCTGTGGACTCCTACAAAACGGCCATTTTGGAGACCCCAGCTTCCGAAAGGAATGGTTGCTTCAATGATTGGTTCTATCGTATGGAAAAATGTATCAAATTTCGCGGAGAATACTTCGAAAAGCAATAAATACATTTTTAAATAGTAATGTTGTGTCACTTCCTTGATTCCCGAAATTTTCAGTGCTGCCCTCGTAATCTGTCTTACACTTGTTAAAAATAAATTGATATCTAATTAATTGTGAAATAAACCTGCAACCTCACAACTAGGAAGGCATTTACAAAGCTGAAACTGACATCAAATTCCAATGCGAATATACATGAACGTAACAAATTCAAACGCACCGGGCGCTAGACAACGTCGTGCTCACTTCGTCACTTACGCGATAGGCCTCGTGTTCGCTCGAAGCTCAACTATTAAAATGCAAATCACGTCGCATTCGGTCATCAGTGGTGTTAAATTTCTCTGTTGTAAAAAAATGGAGCCTCTTTCACTATTTGGTGTTTAACCTCCGCTTTCCAACTAGTCGGACGAGGCGGTGTGCCCGTTGCGCGATGTTCGCGAAAGGGACACGCCGTAACAAACGTTCCAGTTTTTTCTTTTTATAGATTAAGGGTGATAAACGATGCTGTGACACATAGACATCTACATTTATTCTTGATTAAGAATCAAAATGCAAATTCGTTGTCACTTCTGAAGACTAAGATTGAATACCTCATTTCCAGTAAAAAGGGTCTCCGGTCCTCTACACTCACCACACGAAACACAGGCATTAATAAAGGCTTTTATTTCACGCTGGTATTGTGTAAGAGCGCGGGCCTGCTCCGGTCGAGCCGACCCATTCGTGCAACAACCATAATATAGCTGCAGCGTGGCTCTATCACCACAGATTACTAAATAGTTTACCTATCACATAGTTATCCTCAAACAGCGACCAATGACGCATACGAAATAATCATATTATAAGCGCTGTATAAGTAAAAACATTATTTTTATTTTTGACCACTGTCCGCTTTCCAAATAGTAAGTAACCGGGTCTTATTTCGAACTAAAGCGCGTAATTACAAATCAAATTTTGATCTCTAATATATATGCACAACATATACACCACTTTTGATATTTTTATCTTATTTAAAAGATTTACCATCTATGATGATGGACTTCGTGTTGGTGTGCATGCAGTGGTCCGGGCGGCCTCCGCCACACGAGTACATAAAAGAAACAGGCAAAGCTTCCTAAGAACGTGCAAAATTGTTATCTATTTTGGTAGGGTTGTCAGAATAGATGAAGACCAATTAAACAAAACGGTACCTATCATATTATTGCATTGTCACTGAAGTTACGGTATACAAAAATTCAACTCAATCCGACATCGGGAAGTGGTTCAAATCTTCTTGCAATATGTGAACTTAACCCACGTACCTACTACATACCAACCCATCCACATACCTACAAATATTTAGTAAAAGCTTATAATAACAATTAAAAGGTGGACAATAAAATAAAATACAATAAAATAACGGTACTTACTTGAAAAGTAATAATGAAATATTTGCTTGGGATAGTTAAAGTACGATAAATTTTTATTTTTTCTAGTATTATTCATACACACAGTACAATAAACAACCATTATTAATAATACCACGTTTTTACATTAAAATATTCAAACTTTCAACTAACAAAACAAACAACGTGCGTCGCACTGACCCTTAGATTATTGTCCACTGGTTGTGCCAGCGTAACCGGCTTTTTCCAGTCTTGCCAAGTACGCGACAAGCGGCCAGTGGTCACGCACACATGCCCCGCGTTCTTGTAGTAGTGCAACCGATTCGCGGGGTTTTATGAAGCCTTATCTCTGTTCCGTTTATTTAATCATGTGGCCTCGCTACAGTCGCGCAAGGTCGCCGTAAGAATAAAACACTAGCAGTGCTTATTGCTCCAGTATACGAAACTACTTGTAGGTACTGTCTACGCCGGGAAGCGATGGTGGTATGATGGTATCTACTTTCTTTTCAAATTGCTTTTCCATCTGAAATTTTAATTTGGCGCGGCCGCGTAGCGTATGTGCGCGACATCGTCATGAATAAGTAAAGGTAGCTGTAGTGGAAAGTCATCATTTTCGCGGGTTACTAACAGAATTAAATTTGGAGCGCCGAGTTCACACGGTGGGTCGACAGGGCACCTTGCCGCTGGGAACGAGGCCGAGAGCGCCTGTGTAAACAAAGCCACCGTATTACTGTACTGTTGTGAACCTGTGGTAGGCCAATAATGTCCTCCAGACCGAATTTAGGTCACGGAGGCCAGTCTCAACGGAGACTAGCCATCTACCCAAGTGTATGCGCAATCACAGGTGCATTCTCTATTTCTCTAACTCTCATAGTCCAATATGGGACGGTAAACCGATAAGACCGAAGGACCAACGGCTTTACGTGTTTTCTGATACACGGACGTGAAACACCGCCTACTTTCTGACTCCGGGCGGAATGTCTTGACGGAAAAAATCAACAACTATATTTTTGTCCCAACCTGAGATTCGAACTCGGCATCTCATGATCAGTTATCGTGTTTACGATCACTAGACCAACGAGGCACTGTGTTAGAGTAAGTATTAGGGCAAGAAGATTCAAGAAGAAGATTCAATATGTTACAAGAGCTACTGGTTCAGAAAAAGTCTTTATTCTATGGTGAATCAATTACAATAAAATATTTAATGCAATAAAGTTTCTAAACATTTAGAAACGGCACGGTAGCGATCACCTCATTCCCAGGGGGTATTATAAATCATGTACTCCTTATTAGTACAATAATTAATAAACCTTACTAAACACATACTCCTTAATAAAAAAAAATACTTTTTGATATTCTTGCATATTTTCTGAGATTGCGGTTAAAGCATATACATTGCCTCATGAAGGAATTACTGACTCCTTTAGAGTCATAAAGACATTTATTCCAACACGTCTACACACATGACATGTAACAAATAAAGAAAAATTACTTATTAAGAAAAAAGAAACAATAAAAAAGAAGTACACATATTATATGTGTATGTAAACACACTATACTATATATTAATATAGTGTCCGACCGAATCTTTGGCATCGGCCACCTTCGCCCAAAAAACCACCTTCGTCGAAACTTTCCACTTCGGCTTTGGTCAGAAATCGCACTTCGGTCGGACACTATATGAAAAAATATAGACAGTAGCGGAGGTTGGTTGGTATGTTGGTGTGTACATAGGTATATTGGTGTACTGACTGTGCGAGGCGAGCCACTCGTTGTAGTCGAGGCCGTGCGGCAGGTCCACCAGCTGGCGCATGTCCAGCTCGGGCAGCTTGCGCTCCAGCAACGCCTCCTGCAGGTATAGCTTGGGGTCGCCGGCCGGCTCGCCCTCGCGCTCCTTGCGCCGCGCCTTCCTGAAAGAAACAAGAAGGAACACTTTATTTCACATCACAAAGAAAAAAATATATAAAAAGAGATAAAATGAAGATCAGAGAATTTGTGTGAAGTCAAGTTCGGTATTATATTTCAGCTAACTGCTGCTGTACTAAATGACAGCAACGCTGATTTTCAAAAACAATGAGAATATGAATGAGAAATGAGTGGGGGAGAAATCAGCATAATAAGAGGCTTATCCTGCAACACCACACGCCACACGCCACAAGCCACACACCCGTTCCCTCACATCGGTACGCACATCGCGGCAAAACTCACGTCACCATCCACACCGGCTGGATGCTTGGCGCTCCACCACTGTACGATCTACTAGGATATTTTTTTTTATAACAAACGAGCACACAGTCCACCTGATGGTAAGTGGATACTGTGGCCCGTAGACATCTACATTTATCCTCGATTTAGAATCAGTACTTATATCACCCCTAAGGACTAAATAAAAAGGATATCCGATTCTCTACACTTACCATACGAAACACAGCAGCATTAAGCTTCTATTTTACGCTGGTATTATGTGAGAGCGTGGTCCAATATATAAAATAGGGGCAATATACATAACTAGACCTTCTTAAAGTTCAACAATTGTTTTCTATGTTGAATACAAAAAGTTTCTGTTTCTATAAAATGCCCTAGGATTTTTTTTATATTTCGTTTGATTACGTTTCATTTGCTTTGTTTTAAAATAATTTATCAGTTTAAATAAGATTTACCTTTCAAACGATTCGCATAATTCATAAATGCGGTGTTGCATATTTTCCTATGTGATTTGGCTTTTACGAATTTGTGTTATGAATTATTTTCAAATGCGCTAAATCACCTTTCAAAACAAATGTTAGGAGTGACTGCGCACCCTCAACTCGTTCGAGCAATATTAAGTACCTACTGCGCAGTCAACGAGTTCAATTCATATTTTATAACGTAAAGTCTTTACTAAGTAGTGTTCATTTATTTAAATAATAGTTGAGATTATTTTCTAACACGATGTTTATTGTTTATTCCATACGTAATATTTTCTTGTCCGTTTATAACTCGTTTTAGATCACATCGTGTAGGCGGATAAGTAAGCGGGCACCACAGAAAAACAAATTTTGCATCGACCAGGCGAGGTGCGTTGCACTGGGCAGTGATTCATCCCCGGCCCTGACCTTATTGCCGCCCGCGCCTAGAGTTACCAGACTGAAAATTGAAAAGTGACACACAACCGGATTTCCATAGAAAATTCCTGATGATATTTTGTTGCAAACGTAAATTAACGTGCGTGGAAAAAATAACAATTAATTATTCGTTTTGTGCACTCTCGCGAACAGTCCACTTCGCAGATTACAGTAGACACGCAGTCCCACGCAAAAACCTACTGTATTTTATTGAAAAATCTAAAAACTCCCACATTTCCAAAATCCGACCGCAACCCTGACAAGAGACAAAAGGTAGAGATGAGTAGTTTTTTCGCAACCTGTTACAGCAGCAACATTTCATCGAAAATATAAATGCAACTTGTTACAAATCGCGCATTAACTTGTTTCAGTAACTTTCAAACACTAAGCGTTGTTGCACAAAACAATAATTAATAGGATTTTAAACGACAATTAAATATTACGTGGACATTAGAAACATGTTGCGGAAGAAACCTATTATCGCAAAAGGTTTCACAAAAGAAATATAACTGGTTACTTCATTGCGTTAAGGCAACGATAACGCCCATCGCAACTAAGAAGTCCTGACATATCAGGACAAATCCTGACATATTATGGTATCTCTACCCGAGCCTCGCTTTTGCACCATTTACGTCATTTGAGCTATTGTGATTGCAAATAAACGATAATTTTTTATTTATTTATTTATTTATTGACACGGTATCGTCGTGGTCACGTCACATGGTGATTGCGCCTCGCCACGAGCCCGTATATTACAAATCCATTATTTTTGAGCGATAACTAGAAACGATAGATATATTTTATCTTATTTTTATTATTCATGATATGTGATATCAATTAATTGACGCAATGTCACAGAATTGATATATAAATATAATATACCAGTGAACGCAAATAAATGTACCTGCTAATGGAAACGATAAGCGATTCTTCTAGAATAACGTCAAACTAAATATAATACAATGTTATTGGTGGTAAGTGCTACTGCTAGTCGACAGAAGAAGTCGCTGCATTGATAGCAAAACGGAAGGATGCAGCTGCGATATTATCACAAAACATTAACATTTGCGACGTAATAGCAGCGCTAATAAAAGTAAATAATAGATAATAATACAATATGCAAACGGACCACTACTGCGCACACTAGTTATGCGTGGATGATAAATAACACAATGTTTTTCAAGCCCAACTTGAATAAGTGTGATGGGACTGGTTCACGTGCAGAAACCTAGTGGTACTAACTTCCCGAGCAGAGTATCGACGAGCACCGAGAGCCACAGGACAAGCATCTCCAGGCAGCGGTCCATGACGTGCCGCCCATTGCGCGCAATTGGCTCTTTTTAACGCGTTTCCTTGTAAGTGATTCATAAACCGTGGGTTAGTCCAGTGAGAAAGTTGACGTAGGCGAAGGCTTGTCTCTCGGCCAACAAACATCCATAGATACGCGACTTTTCGGAAAACAAGCGGTCACTCGTAGTGGCACAAGACATTGCTGGGGCAGCACACCACGACGTCGCGGCTCACCTGAACGGAACGGCCGAGTACAGATAGGATGGGAGCGAGAACAGCACACCGAGGACCACCGCGTGGCACATCGCGGCGACGACTACCGAGTGCCGACTCCGCTCCCCCCTTGGTGCTCCCTCCCGCCCGCACTCCGCGCACTCTTTTGAGCTTGTCTCTATTGTACGTATTGCCACAACACTCAGCTCTGTCCGTGCGCATTAAATATCGCCCACATAATAGTAAAACAACAAAAATAATGTCCTCCAGACCGAATTTCGGTCACGGCGGCTAGCCTCAACGAAGCTAGCCATCTGCGCAAGTCAGGATTATAGTGTAAAATGATAAATGTAGATGTCTATGGGCCACAGCATCCACTTACTATCAGGTGGACTGTGCTCGTTGTGCCCTTATTCTATAAGAAAATAAAAAAGTATACTAAAACAATAGCACTTCTCTATAAGTTGACGCGCAACCGCCCGCAGTGGGGTTTGACTTTGATTACGCAATGCTACGGAGCCTGTCCAACAGGTATAAATTCAAAGTCATTCGGCCGGCTCTCTACTGTGCTTGTACATATGTTATAGACAAAGTGATTAATAGGGCATTATTCGTAATGTCCACACAGTTTAGAAAAATGCCCAATATAAGTGCAATATATGATTAAAAAAAAACTATTGAAATATATAAATTGAGCGGGCTTTATGAATAAAATCCGTTACTTTTTGGGCACGGTAATGAAAAGACAGGTTAGGTTAGGTTTTATTTTTTATATTTAACAATTAAACACAATGGGCATAATTAAATAAATATTGGTAAATCCAATTGAGCATGTCTTCGCATTAAAAAAAATACGTATAGCATGATTATACGTGATTATATTTTTTTAAAGTAGTTTAAATACACACAAATTCATACTTCCAATTTTCCGATAATTTTATGTCAAACTTCAATTTGAAAAAGTTTGGAAAATCCAAAGTGCACGACTCATAATGCTCATATTATGATCATCATATCATCATTCATGTCACTCCAAAAAGTCCAAGGCGTATTCAAGTATAAATATTACATCCTGCTTACTTTTAGTACGTACTACTATTATTTATTCTGTGCTTATAAAATATTGTAATAAAAACCTCTGATTATTATAATAATTAAGTATGTATGAAATTTGAATATTTTGTATTTATTTGTACAGCTATCTTTTTGAGCCGCTGGAAACAACCCATACAGTATCCATTCACAACGGTGGTTGACGCCCAACTAAGCGAGTGAGGCACAGGCAGTCTCTATTTACTGAAATAAATTCTAACACAAGGCTACCAAACCAACGAAAATTACGCCATTTTAGAGCCGAAAAAAATTAATTATAGCTAAACAAAACAAAATTACACTGCCATTTACATTCAGTGGCTTCCCACGTAATAGATGAAGATATTAAAAAATAGATTGAGTTAACCAATTGATATTTTCAAAAGTTAGTGTTTACAAGCCTTGCGGATTTGATAAATCCACACCATAAGCTACTAAAACCCCTTTTTATGTAAAAATAGCAATTAATCGATTTAAAAAATATATTAATAAGTTCAACAATCATTTATCTTTCTGACAATGTACTTTTTATATCACTCATATGTATAATATGATTGCTTGATACGATTTCATGCGACAAAACGTTGGAATCTTGATTTTTAGGCGCTAGTAGAACTTACCTATGTGCTTTGCGCTGGGTATACAATAAATAAATAATTAAATTAAAGATATTTTTTCTTTGTAACAAAGTGTGTCCCATTGCTGCTATTTGATAGTGCAAACTGGTTTCTCTCGTTCCTTCACATTTTGACACTTGTTAATTTGAGATTTGGTTCATTATTAAATTATTGTCTTAAAAGTGATTAAATTTTACTCTTACTTTAACGTTAGGTTAGGTTAGATTAGGTTAGGTTCTCCGCTTGCCACACGCTCGCGGTATGTCCAGCGTGGTGAAGCGGATCGGATGGAACCTCTCCCTAACAGCAGTCGTGTCGGCGATGTTGAGCGGCGATTCGGCGTGGAGTGCCGTACCCACCTTCTGTGAATCAGTTATGATTCAGAAGGAAGCTGCTGAACGGGATCGGGAGAGGGCGGATCCCGCTCGGAGACGACTTCGCCAAGACGTTCGTCACGGCCCTCATCTTGAAAACGGTGTTCCCCTACCAGAAACGGGGCCTCTGGGGTTACGGGCGCTCGGGGCGGTGGCCTCGAACGTCTAGCAATGTCATCCTCGAGGAAGACGGTGACTGCCCTTGGGACCTGCTTTATTA